TCATAATTATTATATCAATTATTTTCTATTTTATTATTTTTACATTTTAACATTAATAAAAACGTTAACTAAATATTAAATTCTCAAATATAAATTAAATTATCATTTAATAATTTATAAAAATATATAATTTTGACGTAAAATATATAAAATTGGTTAAATTTTCTAAGATATATATCATATGAAAATTCATAATTTTTAATTATTAAAATAACTATTTTATTATTAAAAATTTGTATTTTTTTGAAATTAAAAATCAATTTTCCATATAAATGTAGATTAATGGATTTGATAAATTTAATTTAATATTATATTTTTGAATATTTTATAATCTAAGTTTTAGTTTTTGTAAATAATAAATATGATGCCATTTAATGTAAATTAAAATATTAATTAGTAATTATAAAAATATATAAAATTTGTAAGATATATATCATCTTTTGATATAAATATTTTTTTGTACTTTTAATGTAAATATAAAATTAATAGATTATCGGTTCCATTTGTTTATAAAATACTAATTTTAAATATTATTTATTTTAAATTTTAATTGGGTTGTTAAACATAAATGTTGATTATTTATTTGGATAAGCATTAATAAAACTTTGTTATTTCATTAAATATCACAAAGAATGGCATGGCCAAGTGGTTTGACGAAGAACTTACGACTCTCATGCCACGCGCCCATTGTCTTAGGTTCTAATCACGTTATTTAGCATGGAATTTGAATTTTTAATCGAAGACGCTACATATGGGTCAGTATCGGTGCATATCGACCGATACAATGCGATACCGGCCGATATATGCGATTACAAAGGAAGCGTATCTTGTATTGCCCTAATCCGATACTGATACGATACACCCTGTATCGGATCGATATTTAATTCCTTGGTTTATGTCATTGATATAGTCTATTGTTTTTTGTGTTTTTATATTAGAAAAATTTATCAATCGAGGGGATTGACTTTTAATAACTTTGTACAATAACAACAATTTTATATTGCATAATTAATAATTAGATTCCCATACATGATTTTATATATCCAAAAATGTGACTTTTAACTTATTTTTTATTATTTTCTTATAGGTTAAACATGCTAAAGGAAATACTTCACACATGCAGATGGAAACAAATTTGATCAAATTTTACACGTCAAGTGTTTTTTGAATTGAGTTTCATGTATTCAAGAATTTGTAATAGATTTTAAACACATGGATGTATTAAAGCACCTTGAGATGCAATTCATTTTTTCATTATATAATCTTTTATTAGAATTTTGCATTCAAGTTTCATCTTATATTATGAATGAAATAAATTGTGCTTGTATTTGATACAAAAAAAATGCTTCAAAAAAGTAAAGAAAAAAAATTAGGATGTAACCATCAATCATAGATTAACAATTATAGCTACGAATAGTAAAAAACTATATCTATATATTCATGTTCTTTTGCTACAAAGTAATTAAATTGTAGCTATATGTTTTCATTTTTTAGTTATGGACAACCTAAATCCATAGCTATAGATTTATATTTTTTAGTTATAGACAACCTAAATCCATAACTATAGATTTATATTTTTTTAGTTATAGTTAACTTAAATTGTAGCTATAGATTCATATTTTTAGCTAAGAACATCTCAAAACCATAGCTATATATCTAAATTTTGTAGCTACGGACATCTCAAAACTATAGCTATAAAGTGACATATAGCTATAGTAGTGAAACAAACGTAGTTATAAAGTTAATTTTTTAGGTACAAATAGCTTAAAAAACATAGCTAAAAATGCACATGTAATTATTAATTTAGGCTTTATCCATAGGCATAGGCATAAGCCGTAGCTATAATCTAGTTTTAGCTACGAATTTTAGCATCTTTAGTTATTTCCTATAGCCACCGCAACAACTACTACTATTATTTAACCGTGGTTAGTGTCCATTTTCTTGTAGTGATTTATCAATTGATAGCATGGAGAAATGAAGCCCACAATGACCAAATATAACTTCTAAAGTCTAGCTGCTTTCTACACTTGTAACAGAGCAATAGGATAACATATTTTACATATTCAACTAATAAAAATCATTTTATTACAACTTTAATTTCATCTTTAATGGTTACTAAAATATCAATATTTGTATATTTTGTCTATCTCTAATTGTAAGTGTTGAAAAGGTAATTTCAATTATTACTTTTCACCTCATTAAATTTTATACTTATGTATTAATCCCCTCTCATTAAATCTTATACTTATGTATTAGCTCCCCTCTCATTAAATATAACTTATAAAGTCCAGCTGCTTTCTACACTTCTAACAGAGCAATAGGATAACATATTTTACATATTCAACTAATAAAAATCATTTGATTACAACTTTAATTTCATCTTTAATGGTTACTAAAATATCAATATGTGTATATTTTGTCTATCTCTAATTGTAAGTGTTGAAAATGTCATTTCAATTATTACTTTCCACCTCATTAAATCTTATACTTATGTATTAACTCTCATTTTCTCTTATTAAATCCTATACTTAAGTTATTTTTCATTAATAAATACTACTGATTAGATGTATATCAATAATTTTAATAATATAAACTCGTATATTTTAAAACTAACTAAGAAAACCATTTCTTTTTAATACAATATTCAATTTTGAATTTAGTCCCTATTTAATTGTGAGGTTTAAGTTGTAAATTGAACTACTACTTTTCATCTCATTTAATTCGTTCTATTTAAATATTACATTCATTTGATAAATGAACGGAAAAAGGATTACACAAAAAAAATAAAATATTACAAAAAAAAAACAAATTTGATCAAATATGTAGGCCTATCAATGATACTTGAAACTATACAATTTGATCCAATTATCACATATATTGAATGATGTATTTATGTAATTAGATTTGGATTTTGCAATCTATATCCAATTAATAATAAAAATTAAAAAATATAACATTTATATATATATTTTTTTGATACATTAGTACTATCATTATCATCATGTTGAATTCTCACGTATAAAGGTACATCGCGCTTACTAGTACATGTAAATAGTTAAAAAAGAAACAATACTCGAAACTAGGATAGGTGTGAACGCATATCCAATACATATTAGATTTTAAGAGTGAGCAAATGGGTAGGTTCTACTGGAAACTAAATGAATCGACCCTACCCAATCTATTACTTCTTGGAACTGACCCCCACTCAAGTCAATTCCAGGGTCTAGGGGTTTACCTACCCAAACTAACCCGATGAATTGGCCTTGGTTGACCTTGGTGGAATCAAACTTGACTTTAAATAAACCCCAACATATCTTTAAGGATTTGAAGATTTGAGCCGAAGCAGTCATGGTTACAAAAGCCATAGTTGCACTTGACCATCAAATTACTTAAGTGATTTCATCATTTGTTTTCATTTAAATATGTGCATGTGTATGATAAATAATGTAAAATGTAATATTTGCAAAATTTAAATAATAATGATAAATTTTCAATCATATATTAATATATTATGATAATCTACACATTAATTTCTCAATTTAATCAGATAACATACGTTTTAAACTTTTTATTATCACTATTGAAAATCAAGTTTTTGAAAAATGTGTTTCACTTTTCCCTTTAAGGCTCCATTTGGTTTGTGGGAAAATTTTAGGGGTGTCCATGAAAAACCGAAAAATTGAGAAAACCAAACCGCAAAATGCGGTTAACCAAACCGATCGGTTCAGTTTCGGTTCGAGATTTTTGAAAAATCAAAGGACTAGTTAGATTTTCGGTTAACCTACAAAAAAACCGACGGTTAACCGAACTGATCGGTATATGTATATTATATATATATTTTTAATATATGTCATATTTCCCATGTATTATATATAAATATATATTCATTATATATAAATATATAGTTATATTATATTTATAATGATCTATTTATAAATATATTATATATTTTCCAAATATTTATAATATATTATATATCATTTATTATTTATAATATAATATTATATATTTGTTTAATATATATTATAAATATAAAAAATCGAAAAAAACGAAGAACCGAACTGGTCAAAAACCGAAATCGGTGGACTGGTTAACCGGTGGTATTGGTTCAGTTTCGGTTTGGAGAATTGGAAAAACCGGTACCACCGGTTCGATTTACAAAAAAGTGTCATGGTTTGGTTAACCGAACCGTGGACACCCGTAGAAGATTTGGGTGGGATGGGAAAGTGTAAAAATTTACTATTCTGTTGTTTGGTTTTATATATGGGAAAACAATGAGAAAAGTAGTATGGCGAGATGAAAGGGAAGACGATGAACAATGGGTGCTCTGTTTCACCAAGAGGAAGACAAACAGTAGTTCGCTGATGAAAGAAGGGGAGGTAACAGAAAGACGAAAGGCATTAGTTCTGGGTTCGAATGGGAGTGGCTAAGAGAAGATGATGAACAATAGTTCGTTGGGAGTAGCAAAAAGACGGAAGACGAACATTAGTTCGCTGGCGGAAGAAAGGGGAGGTAGCAGAAGGATGGAAGGCACTGGTTCTGGATTCGAATGGGAGGTGGTAAAAAAACAAAAGGCAAAAGAAGAAGAAAGAGAAGAAGAGAGGAGAGAGGGAGGAAGGGAGTAGTTGAAGAGGGGGGTGCTGCCACCACTGCTTTGTTTTTAGGTTCGAACGGGGAAGGGGAGGTAGCAGATCGCCTATGGTAACAGGGAAAGCATAGGTTCTCTCCCTCCTCTATTCGTCGTTGCTGGTTCTCTACAATGGTTTCTCAAATTTTTCCATCAGGGTCGCCCCCAAATCTGACATCCTAAATTTTCCTTATCTCATCCTTCTATTTTCCTCGGAACAAATGAGAGAAAAATGAATATTTTTAGAATATTATCTTTTTCTCGTCGTACCCCACAAATTAAAGAGAACCTAGAGAGAAAAAGTAAAAGGAAAAACAGATTTCACAGCTACTTAAAACCACCCTTCAATGGATAGGTTATAGAATCTGGCATGAAACCAAACCGAACCCACTCATGCCGACCCTATCACACAAGAGCGCCGTACACATAACAGAAGCTTTAAGATGTAAATGAAGATTCCATAAAAATGAGAAACTATAAGCACCATAAACATTTTCCGGTGAAAAATAATAAAAATAAGTAAGCAGCCATAAAACAAAACTAGCCCGCATCACCGCTTCTCTATCCTTCGCTGGCTGCATGATTGTGTCAAAGCTTGTAATAACTTCAACCGTTATCTTTCGTTTGGGGTTCTTTTTCTTCTCCCTCAATTTCGGGGGAAAACCCTCGTTTTCTATTTAATAGCGAGGACTCCTCCCATGAATTTTCGTCCCCGTTTACTGCACAGATCTTCGTCGCTGCTTCAAGTGGTAGGAGATAACCCTAGAAATTTTAATTTCAAGGGTTTCTCCTTCGCGTTCTTTTGTTTCTTTTTGGTGATTATGGTGTAGTTTTGCTTTTTTTTTTTTTTTTTTCCTTCGGGTTTCTAGAGAGTTTAGTACAACTGCAGTAGTAATGGATGGATTTGATGATGAGGGTGGCATTCAAAAGATCCCCAACCAGAAGGATTTCAAGGGATTGGCAGAGAGTTCATCAGGTCAGTTTTTTTTTTTTTATTCTTTTAGTTTGATCTTTGCTCTGAAGCTTGAATATCTACTTTGTTTATTGTTTTCGAGGTTCTGATATGCTTTCCAGATCTTGGTTTCAGTTCATGTGTGCTTTCTTTTCCAATTTCTCTTTTTTCCTGTTTTTCATCGTCTTACTGTTTGATCGGGTGTGATTATCGTGTTTACTATTGTGATTCATATGGAGCTAGATTGTTGGACGATTTTGTGGTTTTTTAAAAGCTTATAAAATGTTATTGTTTTTTGTTGCAATTAAGTAGCGAACAAACCTTGTATATGGTTTTAACAGTTATGTACAACAATCGAGAGTTAGGGTTTCATGAGTTTTAATGCGTTTTTTTAGATGGTTTTCTGCTTCTAATTGTAAAGTTTGAGAACGTCAAATTCTATTGTTCTCGAAGGAATCATCTACAGTCTATTGCACAAACTTTATTTGCGTTTCAGTTGTTAGATACGGGAAAGGGTTCTCCATTAGACGTTTTAATATTTTGAGGTGCCGTGCAGAAACCGCCTATTTGATGTTCCTGGTTTTCTCGAATTTGATTTCTTTAGTTGTTATTTGACTTGTTGTTCTTTGTTGAATGGTCTTAAAATTACTGCTGATTTTAGATGGAAGGACTTGTTATTGATACAATTTTCTCTTTTCATTTTTCATTTGCCCTTGTTGCATGATTGCTTTAAGTTGTAAGTTGCTTCTCGGCTTTAAAGATGGGGCATGTGAAACATTAAGCATGTTGTCTCTAATCTACATTCTGACTTTCTTATTCCCCCTCCATGCAGAAGATGCACGCTTTGATGCATCACAATATGCTTTCTTTGGTAAGGATGTTATGGAGGAGGTTGAACTGGGTGGATTAGAAGATGAAGATGATGGTGTCCCATTAATTGGGTTTGATGGTGATGAGTATGCGCTGTCTGATAGAGAAGAGGTTACATTTTTTTTTTCTTTTCCTCTTAGTTGATTATCTTTAGAAATATCCTTGTTTTGTTCATTTGATAGGCATATTCTGGATTTGTTCTTAATATTTATATCAAGTTTGCCAATATTCCTTTTTAATATTGTTATGATATTATAATCTATCTTAGCACAACTGATCCTATGCTATTAACGATCAAATAAAAGATGTGTGATACAAAAGATTTAGTCTTTTTGTTCATGTTAAGCGAATTATTTTAAATTTAGTTGTTCATTTCTTTATTGATGGCATATCAATTTTGAGTATAATTTACCTTAGTGGTATTGTGAGCTTATTTTCTATCGAGTATTGCTCTAGTTTCTTGAACGGTTTATAATTTAATTCGTTTGGTAACTAAAGTTGTTGATTGCTTTCAAGTGATTTATATTGACTGTTTTATATGCAAAGAAAATGATTTATCTGAGAAGTCACTCTGCTCCGGATGTCAGCTTGGATCTGCTGCTCCCAACAAGCCACTACAGATGCACATTGGGAACATCTCTCCATGAATGACAGGGGTGATGTTCTTGATGTGTGGGCTCTAAAGGCTTGTTGTGAGCACTGTTGGGACCATTTGTTGGGAGAAGATCCATACTCTATGAATGTTGGGGGTGGCATGAACTATTTGTCTTTTGGGGGGTGTTGGGTAAATTCAACAAGGGACTGATAAGGATTGTATGGTTAGGTATTATATGCAACTTCTTGCCTATTATTAGAAACTTGTAATATCTATAGAAGGTTGTTGAAGATATAGGGAAAATTCACATTTTAAGTAGGAGCAAAATCAAATAATCAGCTAGTTTGTTTCTGTTCAAGATAATCAAACATACCACTATGTCTTCTGATATCTGTAACTGTGTAACATTCAGGGGTTCACCTGTCCTATTGGAAAGATTTGAAGTTAGCTACCAATTTGATGGAATAGGAATTACAGTTGGTATTCCATTTTGTCATGGATTCCATGAAATTGAATTAACTTTCTTTTGTCGGGAATTTCAAAATCCTCAAGAAACACGGAATCAGAGGATTAAAATCCAATAAGTTTCAAATCTTCCTATTGAAGAGCAGAATCAGTAGCTTGTGGAATTGGTGTGAACCAATTCCATTTATGTTCCTCAATTTCATTGATCCAAACATTACCTTGAATAGCATTCCATGGTTTTTTCCTTGGCTTCTGGTGGTATATCTTTTTTATTAGAAAATCTCAAGCTAGTTTTTATTGTTTGTCTGTGTGTGGGCATGCACAAACCCCTCTTTCACCCCCAAGCCTAGGTATGCATGTTTTATTTTTCTTGAAAATTAAGAATTACATTTGAACAATGATTTTTGTTTTGCAGTTGCAGGGTGAAGGTGTAGGATCACTATCTGATATTGATGATCTTGCAAGCACTTTTTCAAAGGTTAGTTTTTTTACCTCTGCCAAGAACACAATATTAAACATCATTGGCATGAGTGAACAGTGCATTGTATTTGTTATTCATCTGTTATAGTATTAAAGGTTTAATTTATTCCTTTTCTTAGAGGGATCTATGATCTTTAACACATATAGGAATTATAAGTGTATTCTTCTTTGATCAGAAGACTATACTTCATCATCATCATTGTTATTGTAGTTGTCATCATCATCCAAGAGATGTTCCATGTAGCCAACCATATATAGTTGTAACAAGGCTTTGATGTTGATGATAATGATAAAGTGTATTCTCCTCTTCAAAGATTCTTGGAATGCTGAATGCCATGTGATGTTTGGGTGCTGATGTTGATAAAATATGATATTTTTGCTTCTTTTTCCGGTAATTTCTTGGGAGATAATCTTTGTATTACCAACAATTAATGCAATTACAGGCTTCCCATGGAGAGGCAAGAGCCGTGTCCTCTCCTAATAGCAGGAAGAAAGACAAGAAAACAGGAAACAGGAAACAAATTCAATCTACAATTGAGCCCAATATAAACTTTCCCTGTTTACCCCTTGCTTTGCAAGGCCATCAGCCATAGAGTTTGCAGATCTGCCCACCCATTGTATTCTCACTGTCAAGCTCCTTGTCAGGCAGTTGGATTTTTTAATTCCATTCTTGACCAACAATTACAAAATTGTAATATAAGCTTTACATCGTTGAATTGGTGGTATTTGGAAATGCATTCTTTCTTAGTTTTAAATGGAAGGTATTAGATCTTGTAGGGAGACCATTTATTTATTTTTTGATAATTGAATGAAATTTATTAATAAGCAAAGATACATAGTACAAGGTCCCCAAGGAGAGGCACGAGATGCAACCTCTCCAAGCTAATTAAGTACAGCTTTCCAATATACTAGAACAAGTTACAATGTAGCACAAAAAGACCTTCCTTAGAAACCCCCTGTTTGGCCAAAGAATTGGCCATAGTATTAGCCGACCTGCTTACCCATTTAACCTCAACTTACTAGTTAACCACTTTACTTTTTTGAGTTGTATCCCCAAATAGCAGCATCTAGGTTTAGAAGCCACCTTGTTACCACCTGAGAATCCCCTTCAATTAGGAGATGTTCCACCCCAAGCTGGTTGGCAATTTGGACCCCTTGTACAACAGCTAGTATTTCTGTCCTTGTAGAGTCCCCCACTCCCACTGGTCCCGAGAATGAGGAAATGATGGTGCTACCCTTATTCCTTAGAACACCCCTTATACCCGAAGGCCCAGGGTTACCTTGGCTGCTCCTGTCAAAATTTAATATGATGACACCTTTTGGAGGCGGGTTCCATTCTAACAAACTTCTATTCTTCTTAGTAGAAGTATTAGCTATTACTGACCAATTCCTCCACAAGTCATCAAAAGAGAAATCAACAAATATAGTCAAGGTTTTCATCCAATGGATTGCTCTTGTTAAAATATAGTCCTTCACTAATTCACTTCATCCAAGCTTCTTTCCTTCTCCAATAAGACTCTTGCATTCCTTTCCTCCCAGAGAGTCCATACGGTAACTGCCCTGATACATTTCCACATGAACTTACCTCTTCTTGTGTGCCACACAACAGTAGATGGGTTAAATAGCAAATTCACATAAGATGGTAGAGATCACCTACCTCCAAATAAACTAAGCCTCTAGCTCCATAAGGCTGTAGCAAAGGAATAGGAAATCAACAAATGGAAATAATCCTCATTGGAAGGTTGGCAAGTTTGGTCCTAATCAAAGTCACCCTACCCCCTATTGAGATGTAATTCTTTTTCCAGGCCGCCAAGCATTTATCGGATTTCTCCACAATGGGGGCCCATAAACTACTTTCTTTAGGGTTGGTTCCTAAGGGAAGACCTAAGTAGGTCAAAGGCCAGGAAGAGGTGGTGCAACCTAAACACCTTCCAATGGATTCTACCTCTCAATCCTCCATGTTTACTCCAGTCACACAACCTTTATCAAAGTTTATCCTCAAGTTGGAGGCAAGTTCAAAAGCTCTTATTAAATTCTTAAGGTTATCCACTTTGCTTAAATCATTCCCTTCACAAAAAATAACAATATTGTCAACAAACTGAAGGTGAGTTTCTGAAATGCCTCTCCTCCATATTCTCCAACCCTTTATTAGGTCCTCCTCATCTGCTTTGGAGATCAATCTACTGTGTACATCAGCAAGTGTAAAGAGGAAAGGAGAAAGTGGGTCACCTTGTCTTAGGCCTCTATTGGTTGGGAAGAAATCCTTAAACCAAGATTGAGTAATGATAGGAATTTAAACATCCACTTATCCAATTACACCATTTGTTCCCAAAACCACGCCTTCTTAACACCTCCAACAAGAAACTCTAGTCCACTCGATCATAAGCCTTTTCTAAGGTTCAATTTGCAGATGAAGCCTTTTATGCCAGATCTCCTCATCTCCTTTACACTTTCATTTGCGATGCGGATCTGATCTATAATTTGTTTATCTTGTACAAAGGTTCCTTGTGCTTGGTTAATGAGAAAAGGAAGAATTGCTTTGATTCTCCTAGAGAGAACTTTTGCCAAAATCTTATAAATTTTAGTCACCAAGCTGATTGGCCTAAAATCTTTGGGGTGTTTAGCAATGGTCTTTTTAGGAACTAGAGCTAGAAAAGTGGCGTTGATTCCAGGACTCACAATATGTTTATCCTCAAATTCTCTAATGGCTCCAATTAAATCTTCTTCGATTATGCCCCATCAGTCCTAATAAAATGCCATTGTAAACCCATCTAGACCTGGTGCCTTAGCTCTATCCATAGAAAAGATGGCTTGTTTAATCTCCTCTTCCTCAACCATTCTTTCTAGCCATTTCCTGCCTAACTCATTCAAAGTTGGCTAATCCTCCTCCACTCTTATCTGATTCTCCAAAGGTTTCTGGAAGTTGATTTGAAATGAGCCACAAACCTACTAGCAATCTCTTGAGTTTGGGTCTGGGTAGGGAGACCATTTATTTTAGTATGGGTCCGGGTCTTCTAGACCGTGGACTCAAATTGTGACAAATTTTTTCCTCATAAGTAGGAGTTTAGACTTTTACATACTGCAATGATGAATTCCTTGACTGTGACTACCTTGTTCCATTTGTTTAGCTTTGGATGATCAATGTGTAAGTTTCATGCTTCTCCCTTGTTTATCTACATGTGTGTGGATTTTGAGGTTCGGTTGTTAAGGGCTATATTGGATGATTAGTTCAATCTAATAGCTTATTACAAATTTGAAATCTTTTGGAATCTTTAAAGCAGAGTGATGAAAGCTCTTGCTCCTGTATTTTTCTTATGAAAAAAAGAAAATAAAAAAATTCTAGAAGAATAGGAAAACTATTGTTTTACCAGGAAGTAGATGGAGAAAGGATTCACACCAATAAGGAGATGGAGAAAGGTCCTGAAGATGGAGGCAAAGACGTTCATCCTTGAAGAAGTGTGGACCAGGATGCGTTGAAGATTGTAAAACTGAGAAAAGCCATATTGTGGTTCAGAGTACAATAGAGGGAGCTAAAACAGCAGGACCAAAATAAGATTGGAAGCATTGTCATGTTGAAAGAAGGACGTATTATGTGGGGAAATAGAATGGGAAAGGCAGATTACATGCTTTCCAGAAGGAAAAGGTGCATATGATGGATGCAGGTAGTAACGGCGATATGAGAGTATCTGAATAGTAAAAGTGGAACTCAAATGAAGGCAAAGGAGAAGGGAAGGGGAAAGTCTGATGTTGAATTGCAGTTCAGTGATCCAATTGAGTGGCAAAAGTAATCTTGGGGAGGTAGGCCTACTTGCTACTGAGGTGGAGATGCCAGAAATATGGGCTAATGTTCCCAATGAAGAATGGAAAAAGAGATTAGTGCTGTCGGCAAAAAGAAAAATAGAAGACTGGAGATTGTTAGGCGAAGAAATTGAAGAGGTACTGAAGGTTGTATTGCAAGAAAGAGGTTATTCCCTTTGAAGAAAAAATGGTGGTGATAGTCATCTCACAATCGATGCCAGAGTTTTCTGTGACACTAGGGGTGACAAAGCAGGGACTGGTAACAATCCATAGATGGGCTATTTCCACTAATGCAAAAGAAGCGGAACTGGTAGTGTCTATCTCTTTGAAGGTTTTGGGGCTGCCGTTCCTCTGGACAGAGGAGCTTTTTGCAAGAATCAGAAATCATTGTGGAGGGGAGCTACAGACCTTTATCTGACATACATGCAGCCAGATTAGAGATAGTTGGTGCAAAATCTGAGTTGGTTCCGCATATGATTGAAATGCACGTTGAGGGAGCAATCTACACATTCTGGATTGCCTCTTCCATTGAAGCTTGGTGGTGGAAGGAGGGAGAGCTTGGTGGAGAAGAAGCTGATGACATGGATGTAGGAAGATTATGTGGCATGTTACAAGAGGGAAGGCATAGAGAAGGTAAAACTTACATAGAAAAGAAAGAGCAAAAGATTGGAAGGGGAAAAGGTTTGGGTCAGGGTCCAAACTTTATAAACAAACCTCATTCAATACTAGGTGATCCAACAACCTAGATTAAGATGTATGTGAAAGCAATAGTGTGTGACATGGGCCAAGTCTCTGGATGTTAGGGCAAGGGTGGGTTAGTGCAAAAAAATGGTCAAAAGAATTTGAATGTTAGTGGAAGTTTAAAAATGGTGAACCAAATTGGTCAAAGGATGGTTCAACAGGGTAAAACTCACGACTCAAATGGGTTGGTGTCATGTGATTCTTTAAAAGAGCCATGTGCTGTGCCTAAAAGAAAAATCTTTGATAGACTACAATAAGCATCTATTTCTTCCAAGTGGACTCTAAACAAAGATGATAGAAGCAACTCAAAACATTTGGTACTTTCCCCTTCTCTTCGTTGGCATCCCGGGCTGTCTTCAAGCGATCTAGTGAAGGACCAACCAAATCCTTGGTACTCATGGACTAAGAGGACTCAGAGGTCATAGATGAAGGCTGGTTGGGTAAGTTGCTACAATTGAAGTTGATTCAGAGGAAGGTTCACTTATAGGAAGGGTATAGCAGATTTAAATACACAAATCTTGTTTGAAGGAGAAATGAGTTGGGTTGAGTCGACTCTTGATAAGCTAGGCAAAGTCATGGAAAGCGGATCTGAGAGAATTGTGTGGAGGACAATGACAAAGGGTGAAATTGCTAACTTGATGAGGGGAGCCCTAGAGCCAAAGCTACACACATACATAGGGGTTTTGAGGAGGTAGATAGTGAGGACCAACGAGTAAGCAAAGGTACTTTGATTGTGGATGAGCAAAAGAGGTTGGGATATGATCATGAGATAGTAAAGGTCATGGTAACTTTACCCTTTTTAAAGACAATTCTAGTGGTAGGCAACACAGGTTCAACTGAATAGGAAAAGACGACAAAGAGTGATAAGCTATTTCCATTGAACCAACCCTTGTAATGGCTAAGTACTATTGTCAACTGAACAAGAAAAGACTAGCAAGTTGGAACCAATTAGAATAGGTGTGGAAGTTGTAGATACTATAGGGGACTTTGTAGGGAAGTTAGGCAGTAAAATCAAGGATCCAAATGATTTGAAAATTTACATCGACAAGTTGGATGAAGGTGCAAAACAAGAAAAAAGGAAGTTAAGCGAAGCAGAAAAATTGAGATTAAATGTTGAGGGGGATAAGGAGTTCAGTGCAAGAAGGTAAAGGAGAAGAGGGGGAAAGTAGAAGATCTAAGTAAGAAGAGGGAATTCAAAGCAAGTCCAAATGAGGATAGTAAGTATTGTACGAGGTTTGGGTAGTGCAAGAAAGAGTGTGGTAATAAAGGAAGTGTTTAGGAAAGAGAAGCCTGATTTAGTCATGTTACAAGAACCCAAATTGATGGAATTTGACAATAGATGGGCATGAAATCTATGGAGGAGTATCTATTGAGCTTTGGCTCCTTCTTGGGGATCCTTGGGATATATGATTGTATTATGGAGGGATGAAGTTTTGGAAATTTCATGGTCTCTATTAAATTCAGATAAGTGGATAGCCTTGAATGGGTGATGGCTAATGTTCACGTGCTAAATGATTTTTGGGAAAGAAATGAGATGTGGGAAGAACTAAGTGCCATTAGAGGGTTATGGAGGGGGTCTTGGTGTATTGGGGGTGATTTTAATGTGATTAGATTCACAGAGAATAGAACCGTAGGCCAAGGATAACAACTAATGAGGAAATTCAATGATTTTTTAATAATTTTGAGTTGAAAGACGTGCTCCGTCATAATGTAACTTGGTCCAACCTCCAACTCAATCCAATTTGCTTGAGGCTCGATAGATTTCTTTTTTCGATGGATTGGGAAGAATGTTAGGGTGTTTTAGTATCTGGGACTCTATTAGGGGCAACTTTTGATCATTGGCAAATGACTCTTTTTAAAGAAGAGTTGAGAGGATTAGGTCCTGTGCCTTTCAGGTTTGAAAACATGTGGCACAACCACCTTGGCTTTGTTAAGAATGTCAAAGATGGTAGGTCAATGGTGAGATTGAAAGCAATGTTGGTCCACCAGAATTTACAATTTGTGAAGAGTAACATCAAGGAGTGGAATACAAAATGTTTCAGAAGAAAGAAAATAAAAGGTCTTTGACCAAATTAAAGGTTTGGATGAGAAAGAATCCTCAGGTATCTTTGAGGGAGATAAGAATTATGGTGCTTGTTGAAAAAGTAGTCAAAAGACATTCTGATCAAGGAAGAGATTAGTTGAAGGCAAAAGTCGAGACTAAGAGGATTAAAGAAGGTGATAGGAACACAAAATACTTTCATTCATTGGCTAATTGTGGAAGAAGGAAGAACCTGGAGTCCAATTTGGAAGTCGATGGTGAGGTGATTACCTAACCGAGGGTGATTTCTAGGGTCTTTGTGGAACATTTTAAATCAATCTTTAGAAGGCTTCTAGGTGAAAGTTTTGGGATTGAAGGCTTGGGTTAGCTTGGCGCTAGGGCTAGATGGTTTGACCATGGCCTTTTATTTGGACTATTCGGATATTATTGAGGGTGATCTGTTGGAGGTTTTTAAGGAGTTCTTTGAAAGGGGAATTTTTAATCCAGGTTTGAATGCTACTTTTATTTCATTGATTCCTAAAAAAAGGTGGAGTCAATCATCCTAAGGACTTCAAACCAATAAGCCTAGTGAACAACCTTTACAAAATAATTGATAAGGTATTGTCTTTAATAATTTGACGAGTATTTCCCTCCTTAGTTTTGGCATAGCAAGGCGTCTTTTTGCAAGATAAACAAATTATTGTTCAAATACTGATTGCCAATGAGTGTGTGGAAGAAATGAAAAGATCAAAGGAAAAAAAGGTATAGTCTGCATGTTGGATTTGAAGAAAGCCTATGATTTTGTTGATAGGCAGTTTTTGATTGAGGTGTTAGGGCAATATGGGTTTGGAGAGAGATGATGCAAATGGATTTGGGGATGTTTAAGGACTTATCACTACTCACGGGAGTTTTAGATGTTTTAAGTAGACTTGTCTTAAAAGCTGATTCAAGGTGTCTTTCTATTCGAGGATGGAGAATGGGGAGAGATAATGTGTCAGTTACTCATTTACAATTTACAATTTGCAGATGATACCATTTTGTTCTGTGATTGAGGTGAGCTGGATTGGATTAGGAACCTAGAATTGTTGGTGCAACTTTTTGAGAGAACATGAAATCTCAAAGTTAACTTCGATAAGAGTTGCATAGCTGGGATAAATATGGAAGATGGTGAGATTGAAGAGTGTGCTGACATTATTGTTTGGGAACCTAGTTTTAGAAAGATGGTGAGATAGTAATTGCAATTTCCTTCCAATTACTGAACAAATTAGCTGCTGTAAAGTCTGTAAACAAATTGAAAGATAAACAAGAATGTTGTCAAAGATAAACAAGAATGAGGTGGCCGGATTGGGTATCTTGAGTTTAGTAACAACTCAAGAAAATGCTTATGTGGATTGATGTCATATATGTAGTCTAACAACATCAAAAGTTCACTGAAGCCTATCAAAGACATTCTTACTTAACTCCTAAAATTTATCAACTAAGAGTTAGTAAAGTGAATTATGAATTTGTGGGATCAGTGAGACTGACATGATTTGCCAGGTTGGGTGGTTAAAGACCTTACTTTGATCTTTATGAACCATTAACTGAAGTTCTAGCAATTCAGCAATATACTGCAATATTAAGATAAAAAAGCCTGATAATTTTTCAAGCTGATACTGTGGCTTCTCTACCTAAAAACTTAAGCAGAAAATTTGGGAAGAAGGTGGTTAGAAGTGGGTCTGTAGAAGGGTAAGAACAGTGTTATAAAACCCTCCTCAATCTTATTTCTAAAACAATTCCTAATACTCTCTTTCCAAAATTAAAAAATGTTTTATTATGTAGCAAGACACTTATTTTGCAGTAGGAAGAAAATTTGCATGCTGATTTTTCAGGGATTCCTCTATTGTTGCTAGAAATAGTGATCTGAAATATTATGAATATCATAGTATGCTTATTGAGTGGCAAAGGAACATGCTTTTTGTCAATGATATATCCATGCAAAATTCCACTAAAGCAAGTAATTTATTGTAAATGATATATCCCTATATAGTACAAATTGTGCCCCCAGTACTTGATATTTTGAATACAAGGAACTTTTTTGTATTCCTTAATAGTGTTTTATCTAAGAGAACAAAAAAAAATAGTGTTTTATCTAAGAAATTGATGAGGCACAACTAAAATGCTTTTCAATCCTATTAATTGTGTAAGAATTGCGAGATGTTCCTCAACTTGCCCCTTGCACTGTTTTCAAATAGGAAATTGAACTTTGTCTTTCCATTTTTTGGTTGTCTTACAGTTGAATAGTGCTGTTAGTAAACCCAGAACTGCTGGAGTTATTGGTGAAATGGGATCTTTCTCTAGGGAAAGTGAGTAAGAGTTTCCAATAGCTGTTTAGAATCTCCTTTTTTTTGCCTTAGAATTATTGGTATTAATGTTGAACAGTTGAAAGATTGAAAGCAATATCTTCTATTAAGTACCCAAGTTCAGTATATTTTCTCAGGTGTACAAAATGCTAATCAAAAGGATAAGAAAAATTACAGTCCCATTCAAACATAATACAAAAGAAACAATTAAATTTGATAAATTTGATAACCCATGATAAAAATATGAGTTACATCTACCTGCATTGAGAACCCTATGTTGTG